CATCTTGCTGGATACAATCAGGACACGAATCGCTTCGGAGTAGGCCCCACTTGGGATACCGTTGACGTTCACATCGACAAGCGAGTGCTTCACGAGCTTTACCTACCCGCTTTCAAGGCATCTGTCCAAGAAGCTGACGCCGCTTCTGTTATGTGCTCTTATAACATGCTGAACGGTTTCTTCGCTTGCGAGAACGACTGGCTTCTAAACACTACGTTGAGGCAAGAATGGGGGTTCCAGGGTTTCGTTGTTGCCGATTGGTATTTCTCCACAAGAAGCACTGTTGGTGCCGTCATGGCCGGTTTAGATATTAGCATGCCTGGAGGTTCCCTGGAGACTTCATACGGATTTCCAGCCTACTATGGAGACCTCTTGGTCGAGGCTGTCAACAACGGAACTATACCAGCCTCACGCATCGATGATATGGTCGCAAGAACATGGCGATATATGTTCAAGCTTGGAATGGTCGACAACCCAGTCACCGGAAACGCAGAATCTGTGGCAAGAACACAAGCCCATCTTGATCTGGCTCAAAAGATGGCCGAGGACGGATCTGTTCTCCTGAAGAATGATGATCAAACGCTACCTCTTTCGCCACAGAAATACACGCATGTTGCCGTATATGGCGTGGACGGGACCAACCAAAGCCAGGTCACGGAAAACCATGGAGGCTTCGTGATCGACACGACAATGGTGGTGCAATCACCTTTGGGTGCCTTGAAACAACGAGCTAGCAAAGAAGGCAACATGACAGTCACTTATGCGGAGGCCTATCCTGGCACCGGTGAATTCCCGACGGTACCTTCCAGCATGTTTGTCGACGACGGTCTCAATGTAACATACTACACCACTACCGACTTTTCTGGGCCTATTAACCAAACCGATTTCGTCCCCAACATCACCTCAGCCTCATTTCCCAAAGAGCTTTGGGTGTCGTGGCCGCAAGTGTTTTCTTGTGTCTATGAAGGCACTTTCAAAGCCAACACTAGCGGAATGTACCATTTCTCGCTCACCGGCCAAGGAGATGCTGTACTTTACATCGATGGGCAGGTCATCGCCAACATGTCCAAAGCAAACTTTGGAAATACCATCCAAGGCATCGCAAATCTGACAGCAGGCGAGGAAGTTTCTCTGTCTCTGAACTATTCCATGGGCTACTCACTGTCCACCGGCGCGTATGGTGTCACACTAGGAGTTGATGTGGGCAATAAAGCAAGGGACCAAGAAGCGATGTCGCTGGCGGAGAAAGCTGATCTGAGCATCGTCTTTGCGTCTGACAGACACTCCGAGGGCGTTGACAGCAACATTGGCCTCTCTCTCCCTGGCGACCAGGACGCTGTGATATCTCGAATCGCCAAACGCTCAAAGAAGACTGTGGTTATCCTCAACACCAATTCGGCCATACTCATGCCCTGGATCGACGAGGTGGATGCGGTGATGCAGTCTTGGTACGGAGGCCAGCAAATCGGCTTGGCGCTTGGAAGATTGTTGTTCGGCGATGTCAGTCCAAGCGGAAAATTGCCTGTGACGTTCCCCAAGACACTGGACGACGCCATAAAAATCACTTCAGACCTAAATGTACCCTATGAGGAAGGTCTGAACGTTGGATACAGGTGGTACGACGAGCACAAAATCGATCCGCTGTTCTCATTCGGCCATGGACTCACATACTCGACGTTCGAGTTAGAAGGTCTCGCAATACACCTAGCAAACTCTACGGTGACATCTAGCTCCGAGCATGTCATTTGTTCCACAACGTTGACAAACACGGGAACAGTCGCTGCATCGGAAGTCGTTCAACTTTACGTTTCGTATCCAGAGGCAGCCAGGGAGCCTCCCAAGCTGCTTAAAGGATTTGCCAAAGTCCACCTCGAGGTAGGCCAAAGTACAGAGGTGCCACTGCAAGTGCTTAAGGATGATTTGAGAATCTGGTCGGAGCAGAAGGACGATTGGGAGTTTGTACATGGCGAGTATAGCTTCCTTGTCGGATTCTCAGCAAGCGAAATCAAAGTGGAGAGGAAGATGGCTCTTTAGATACGCTTTAATAAATCGTGCTTAGACGTTAACTGTATCAGAAATCATTATATGCGCCACATGGCCAATGGCAAAGGTGAAAAGTCTTGTGCCCAATACTAATTATGCCTTCGGACTAAGTAGTAGCCCACGCTGGAATTTAGGTCGGCGACATGAATGCTCCCTGGCCAATGTTGAAGCCAGCGTTAGCGAACATGAACGCCCAGGCTTCGTCATCCACAAAATTCATATCGAATGTTGATGCATCTTCCGATGCATGATGATACGCGTCCTGATCATCGTACATTGTATCAACTTCATGTCTTTGCGTAGTTTGTGCATGAGGCAGCGTGGATTCGTGGGCTGTAGTGTCCACGTTCGCGGTATGTGCGGTGTACGCGGCGGGTGCGGCGGGGATGTGCGAACGTGAGGATGAGCGCTGCTCTCTCATTGCTTCGTGTTGGACCAAAACATTGTGTAAAAATGCTGCTTGCAAGGCGCAGCTTGTACCTGCCGGTGCTTGAAGTTTGTCGAAGACTTCCGCTGTGTTACGTATACCGTCCAAAGCTGGCATTTCCATCTCGATTCGGATGTATGACGGCGCTGAGAGTAAGAGCTACATCAGGGGTCAGTGTATCAGCTTACTAGAGTTACGATAGTCAAGTACCTTGATGAGAAATACTGTCGCGTAAGCGATCATGACATGTACAGAGTCTTGCGCGAAGTATACGAGCTGTGATGAAGAGGGATCAGATACAAGCTTGAGCATATCGACAGCGCTGGAGTAGCTGTTCCAAATTGCCTCCGTATCAACTGACGTCTCGATATCCTTCAGCCTAATCGATGCGCGCAGTGAGGAAGTGAATAAGAGCAGCCGTGCATAGCTGCCGTAGAACGGTACCAAAAAGGCATGACAATCCTCGCCCCGCTCGGATACTGTTTCCGTCCATCTCCTTTGCCAGTTGATAATCTTTCGATCAAGCACACGCAGCAATGATCGGAATTGCGAGGGGTCCTGGCGTTGATGTTGTGCATATTGGGTCGTCATCATCTCAAAGTGGGTGGAAGTGATGAGGCGTAGGGATACGAATGCGCAAAGTAGCCTGTCGTTGGCCACTTCAAGAGGGTGTAGATGCCAATTGCTTACTGACTCTAGATAACTGCTTCTCTCGATCATCCAAGGTTTGCCGGTCTGCAAGCTGATGCTGTGCGTCGATCAGTATCATTTCATAAGATTGATAATCTTACGTTCCCTACCTTCGGTCATACACAAACAAGACTAGCCAGGCCCTCTCAATGTTCCTGAATTGCATCGCTTGACGATCAGACGCGTTTTCTGGGGGTTTCATTGCATCACTCCCAAGATTATGCCAACCAAGCTCGATGGCCATTCTGATAGCATGGCCTACAGACAGCCATACACGATTGTCGCGTGGCTCTTTCCAATATGTCAGGATGAGTATCGCTTGTACTGTCTCTGGCGACTTCGAACCACAGCGAAAGCTCTCTAAGAAAAGCTCTTCAGCATGGGAGAGTAAGGGCTTCTGTAGTGCAGGGTGCAGTAATTTTGCGGCTGCCGCCAGAACGGCGGTGAAGAGGAAAGAAGATACCCCCCTGACATACTCGAAGGTATGTAAGGAAGGATCCAGTTGGCTGATGAAAGGATTTAGGTGCTTCATGAATCCACCGAACAGCTCGGTAGCGAAATGGAGGTTGACCAGGCCTTTGTTAACTGGATCATTTTCCGATACATTCTGGTTACATTCTTCCGGCGCATTTCCGTGTTCAGTACTTAGCACGTTTTGCAAAGAGAAGTCTCCCCTTGTAATCTGCCGGTTGAGGATGTCAGAAAGTCGAAAACCTCTGTTCTCCGTCCAGAAATCATGACCTGAACGTTGTGTTGAGTGGGGACGGGAACCCAATCTGGAAGTTGACCTTTGAGCGGCATGCGTATCTATCGATGCATCCGCATCACCTGCCTCGATAACACCATGGTTGACATGTTGAGGCAAAGACCACCTGGATGATGTTGCTGGAGGCCTCGTAACACCTTCACCGTTCCCTGACGTTGTCGCAACGTTCTCTTGACCTCTTGAGCTTGGTTTTTGTAATCTACAACACACATTAGTTGTTTTGCGGATTGGAGCAAGCAGGCTTTACTAACTTGAAGCCGTGCTTTCGACCCCGCCGATGTCCAAGGAAGTCACATTGCAACGATTTGCGCGTACACCTAACGCACCGCGTGTCTTGCGCCATCTTGTGGCACTTCATCTTGACTTTGCGACATTGTAGGCAAGCATGTGGTCTTCAAACAAACAGATCAGTGAACGCGCAACTGCAAAATCGATCTGGGGCTGGCTCACACAGCTTTCGAAGGTTGTGAACCAGGTGCCTCATCAGTCTCCGTCATGCTAGATATCTGTGTCGGACATTGAGGTCAGCTTGAGCTGAGATAGACACTGTAGGAGCATCTGCGTAGTGTGTTGCCGAACGGGTAAGGTGTCTTATCTGTGTTATCTTTCCACGCTAACCACATCGGCACGCGTTCTTTCGGACAGATGACACTTGCAGCATTCCGCAGCAACCAAGCATCCATCGCATTCTCCACCTCAGTCGTTCTCCTCCAGTCATGGATGCTACATGCCGCCATTACGCGAACGCGTCTTCCGATCGTCGGCAGCGAGCCTGGCATGAAGCTCTTACAGTAACATGAACCTCTCGGAAACGTTGACCCCGCACCACTCTTACCGACGCGATTCAGCACAATCTCCAGACGAATGCGCCAACTTTCTTTGGTAAAGTTGCTGCGATCTCGGCCCACTTCATTATCACTCGCGCATATCGCCGGTGTTCTACTGGAGATTGAGACGCCGGCGGTTGGCACGTGCGCTCTTCCTCAATAGTCCTCATTGCTGTACGGAGGGGTAGAGCAGTCAAGCAAGTCGGCATCAATTCTACACGAATCCGAAAACTACGCATCGAACAACATGGCTGTCATACCACGCTCCAAAGCCAAGACGGCGCACGTCAACATGATGACGGACACCATCATAGCAAACCTCCCGGCAGACGCACTTCGAAGCGTAATCAGAGTCATTTTGACAACGGAGCCATCAGTCACAAGTATTCTCGAGGAGCAAACGCGAATTTATCTCAGGAACACCGCCAATCAGCCCAATGGTCAGCTGTTTCAATCGACGGCCGAGGGGGTCGCATCAACATCGAACTTCACATGCGCCCAGCAGCGCCTACGTTCCGCCATAGGGTGTGGACTGGTCCTCGACAGCTTTCCTATACTCAACAACATTGTAGAAGAATCCTCCAGCCTGAATGATGGACACGACGTGCATCGGTCGGCTGAGCTCGACCGATGTCTAGCTTCAGTAGACGGCGATATAGTGCAGGCATTAACTGCGATCCAAAAACGCCTGTTATCCGATAGTGGCAGTAGGGACCTTAACGACGACGACGAGAGGCCTGTGATGAACTTCCTCTTCGATTCGTTACTTCGATGTCGTCAAAGATGGCTTGCTTCTGCACAGGACTTCCCTTTTGACCGAAGCACAGCAGTCCTTGCAACGATGCTCGGCCGTGAAAGTGGTATACCGACACTGGCTTATCAAAATGGTTCTCATCAAGACCGAATCCATCAACGGAAGACATCCAAATCCTTGGAGACTTTCAAAGTAAAGGGTATCGAGCTTCCTAAATTGTTTGCAGGTCTCTGGCAGTTGTCGAGTCCATCATGGGGTACTGCATCTCAGACACAAATGTTCAAGCAATTCGTCGAATACATTGAAGGCGGCTTCACTGCGTTCGACATGGCTGATCATTACGGCGATGCTGAAGTCATTTTTGGTCGGCTGAGATCCTCGCTATCCAAGTCTGATGCCGTCTTCGGTGCCACAAAGTACTGCGTCTTTCACAAGATCACCGTTACACCTGCGGTGATCCGTGCAAACGTCACCGAGCGTTGTCAGCGCATGAGTGCCGACAAGGTCGACCTTTTGCAATTCCACTGGCAAGACTACAACGACCACCAGTATATCGAAGCACTGCGACTTTTACAGCAGGACGAACGAGTTAAACATCTGGGATTATGCAACTTCGACACAGCACGGCTTCAAGAAGTGATAGACAACGACATCGATGTTGTCACTAATCAGGTTCAGTTTTCTCTTATCGATGCACGACCACGATTCAAGATGGGCGAGGTCTGCGCGCGGCACAATGTGAAACTCCTCACATATGGTACTCTTTGTGGAGGCTTCCTTGCTGAGAAGTGGCTCGGCAAACCTGAGCCACAGCTGTTTGGTCCGGATACGACTCCCTCGCAAAGAAAATACTTTGAGATGATCCAGACATGGGGCGATTGGGATCTGTTCCAGACCTTGCTGCAGACTCTGAAGGCTATAGCGACCAAGCATAATGTCTCCATCTCGAATGTCGCTACGAGATGGGTTCTCGACTTCCCATACGTGGGTGCAGTCATCATTGGCGCGCGGATGGGTGTTAGTGAGCATACGGAAGAGAATTTGAAGACGTATGGATGGAAACTCGATGAAGAAGATCAGAAGCGCATAGAAGAAATCCTCGAGAAAAGCAGGAGAGAGGAGGTGTTTAATGTCATGGGTGATTGCGGTAGTGAATATCGGTAGTGGACCAGTCAACAAGGGTTATCGGCTGGTCTGTTTGGATTTCGTTTCTTCGGGAGTTCTTAGTGTAGCTGGCAAAAATATGAGAGCAATGTGCTTTGGTGTTGACCATGGGAACAGCGTCTTCCCAGGCCGTGTTAGACCCCGCCCGTGCGCTCGCTCCCCTATCCTTGTGCCAGTCCTGTGCGATCACTGCCTGCACGCCACCACACGACCACTTTCAGATGCTCACGACGACGGAACTATCTTTCATACGGACGCTTCGATCTGCGTTCCGGAAGATGCGCAACTGGCGGACGCTCAAGAGCTCCTACCTCCCCTGCCACAGCTGACGTCACCGCCAAACATACGCGCGCCGCGTTACTCTGCCATTACCCCAGTTTCCGTCGTCGTCGTCGCCCCGTCGCCGCTCCCATTACTGCGACTCAGATTACCGAGATACTACAAATATTCCAACCGCATGTCTTGGAGTTGCAACGAGGTGCAGACATCGCTGCGCTTTCGAGTGCAGCGTGGCTGCTGCAGCCGCAACATACTCCTGGCATAAGGATTGAGATGATGATGACAATGGGGAGGATAATCATCCTGGTGACAATAGTTGAGATCACCTGCAAGACTTCTTGAAGCCTCTAGCGACGTTGCGACGCGTCAAAAGTTGGATATATTGACACCATGATCGTGTTCAGTGTGACGACTACATACAACCACATCCCCCGAGCGCTTGAGGTGCTTACGGCCATACCTCCAACACCACCAAGGCTCCTGAGACTACCTCCGTATAAGGTGATGCGCTGAATGAAGCAAAGGGAAACTGTTACACCGTGGATACATCAATTTGGAATCTTCCTCGGTGTTCCAAAACTCAAGAGTTTCCTTCTAGACCAACTACCGTGGTATCCGCATGACTGAAGGTCCGCAACCCGGTTCGTATGATCTTAAGCTGAGATTTGCAATTCGGATCCGGACATGCAATCAATGCATCTGTGGACATCCAGTCATGTGCGTGAGTTGGCCTCTGCTTGGCTGCTAGCAGAGGCAATACTGCCGCTGAATTACAAACTCATCAGTTATGGAAGTATGCAGCATCCATGTATACAACTCACCTAAGCTGTAGAAGCTTATGCCCTGGCCGTCAGGAAGATGCAGCATCTCGCCTTGAACAGTAAAGTAGTCTCCTTCCTTGGCTCCACACAAAATGCGCTCGCCTGGTGGACAAACCACCTCGACCCGCAAGTCGTACAATTGGAACGAGTCGTCCTTGGCAGATGACATCTTTGTTGGCTTTGGGAAGTTGGTGATGTTTTGCAATGAATACCATGCTCATCTCGTGCTCTCTTGACTTCTATTGACCCGCTTCGAGTAGGGTGGGGCCACCGGCATTCTAGCAGGGCAAGTACCACCGGCATCTCAAGACCCCCAGCTTATCGCCGTTTTCGGGCGCACTGCCCCTATCAAATTGCAAGACCCCGCTATCAGTAACTAGGAGTCACGGAGTCAAGCGTAGAATGCCGAGCTGACAAGCGAGATAAGCATTGTGCTTCTGCTAACATCATTGCTCGGATTAAAGGCCGGTCCTCTGTACATCAAGAACATACGACTAAGTGCGGAGACCTGATCATACTTGCTATTGCGCGTCGAGGTCACTACGCACAATTGACATCGCATGCTTTCATGCTGTGATTAACATCATGGATTTTCCAAAGAAGGATGCTACGCAACTCGCCCAAACCTGTGCGTCAAGTTCGGACATTGAGAATGGAGCCATGGGCACGAACTATGAAGTCAAACGCGACCTTGGGCGTCGCCATATCAACATGATTGCGATAGCTGGCATGATCGTGAGTCAACTTTGCTCCAAATCCGTCGCACCTGGTCCTATACTTACGCACACGATATAGGGTACCGGATTGTTCCTGGCATCGGGCCAAGCAATCGCTACCGCAGGACCAGTCGGCGCTCTATTAGGATACCTATGCATGGGTTTGATCGCTTGCGGTGTTGCCCTCTCCGCAGGAGAGATGTCGGCTTTTATGCCCGTCACGGGAGGCTTCGTTCGCCATGCCACCAGATTTGTGCAGCCAGCACTCGGCATTGCCACTGGATGGAACTTCTGGTATACCATGGCAATTACAGCGCCAGCCGAACTTGCTGCCGCTGCAACTTTGATCAACTTCTGGGACAACAGCATCAACCCTGCAATTTGGTACTCGGTTTTCATCGTCATTATCGTGGTTATCAACTTCTGTGGTGTGAAGGTCTATGGCGAGGTGAGTCTTGATGTGCATCGGTTTTGGCTTCCTGTCTAACAAAATCCAGAGCGAGGTCTTCTTCGCAGCTCTCAAAATTTTGCTCATCATCGGTCTCATCATCGCCGGCCTGGTAGTAGATTTGGGAGGGTCTCCTAGTGGAGACCGAATCGGCTTTCGATACTGGAAGAATCCCGGACCTTTCAACGAATATATCGTGCCGGGTAATACTGGCAAGTTTCTTGGGTTCTGGAGCTCCTTGATCTCAGCGGCCTACAGTTACGCCAACATCCAGGTGGTCGCCATAGCTGGCGCTGAGACGAAGAACCCAAGAGTCATCATCCCGAACGCGATACGCATGACTTTCTGGCGCGTGCTCATCTTCTACGTCATCAGCATCCTCATCGTTGGCATGCTTGTACCATTCAACGACCCAAATCTTGGTATCTCTACTGGCGACGCCCAGCAGAGTCCTTTCGTCATCGCTTTCCAGCGCGCTGGTATCAACGTTCTTCCCTCGATCATCAACGCCATAGTATGTACTTCAGCCTTCAGCTGTGGCTCTGCATGCGTTTTCCTTGCATCACGTACCCTGTACGGACTAGCAGAGGATGGCCAAGCTCCTAAAGTTTTGCTTCGCACCAACGGGTTTGGAACCCCATACTTGGCGATTGGAGCTTCGCTCATCTTTATGCCTCTCGTATACCTTAGTCTTGGAAGCAATTCTTCGGTAGTGTTTGGATGGTTTGTCAACATCACAACCATTGCTGGACTTATTGGTTGGCTTGTCATTGAAGGCACTTATCTAAGGTTCTACTATGCCTTGAAGGCTCAAGGTATCAGCAGAGACCGTAAGTTGAACGTCGCTCCCTTTGCTGGAATAATGCTGATGTAGTCAGGTCTTGCGTACAAGAGCCCCATGCAGCCATATCTCGCTTGGGTTACCGGAGGTGCGCTCGTCCTTGTCATCTTGTTCTCAGGCTACAGCGTCTTCTTTCCGGGCCGATGGAGCGTGGGCACATTCCTCACGTATTACATCGATATTGCTATCTTCATCTTTCTGTGGGTTGCTGGATTCTGCTACGCAAGGTCTGGAATCATCGCTCTGCAAGACGTCGATCTCTCTGAGATTGCTGATGTTGATCACGAAAAGGCGCAGATATTAAACTCAGCGGAACAAAATCTGTCGTGGTGGAGGAAATGGATTGTCTAGTTTCCGGGAAATGTAACGAACATTTGCGATGAAGATGTCTCCGTTAACCAGATGTTTCCGGCCTCGATCTAATCGTGGTTTAGCGTGCATTTCTACGAAAGCAAGCTCGAACTCTTGAGAGACATATGACTTTTTAATGCATGGTCAGTTCCTTCACGCTCCAAAGACCTTCCACATGTTATGAAGATCTTTCCACATGTGTGTGCAAAGGTCGTATTCATACCATAGTACAAGTGGTAGCGCTGGTGACTTGAACGATTGCCGATCTCTCAATGCTGGCTCGGCTACTCTTCTGCAGATGACAGAGGCCTGCAGCTAAGTATGGCGGTAATGACGCAAACGAACCGCAAACATGAACGAGGACACGTAGTCATGATGCGCTACAATACAGATCTGACGAATCTTTGTTGATTGAACAATGGATTGAGTATAAACGAGATATGTAAAACATGGACATTTTCAGCATAGGATCCACTGTTGCAGCTTCTTTCACACTAAGTCCCTCAGACACCCTGTCTTCTCGAGTCTCTGTCCGCATTCTCTATGTTTTTTACCTCAAACTCTGACCTAAGGTAGCCAGTGGAACTCTTGTTCTATATTCTCAAGCCCACAACATCCCATCTTTCAGGGTATGCTACAATCTAGCAATCCCTAATATTTCAACACCTTGAGATCGTTCTTGTTACAGCGTTTGAAATGCGCCAGGTCAGGGAGTACGATATCGGTGAGTTTTGATGCAGCCTCATGTAGTAAGCGGTACGTGCGCTCATGTGTCGGCCATCTTGAGATATGCGGAATTGTCGCTCCACTTCCGATGAGGGTTCTCACAATCGAGACGTCATAACGATGGACAGCGGTTTCGAGAGGCGTTATGTGTGTCCTGCCAATCGCCCGCATGTTGGGCCGCATGGAGAGGTTGACGTTAGCGCCTGCCTGAAGACAGGCCCGTATAGCGATTGGACGTCCGGATCGAACAGCAATGAAAATAGGTGCTGTCAAAGTTGTTCCTCTGTTGATATCTTCGACATGCTGAAGGACCCCCTCAATAGCTGTAGAGTTACCTTTGGCATACACAGCACCAAGTGTGTCAGGTCCAATCATGTTCTTGCTACCAGTATTGAAGCGGAGAACGGCCTTGAGGGCTTCTAATTGATCGAGCGAGCAATTTGCGGATGCTTCGCCGACCCATCCGCTGTAAGTCTTGTTTGAAGGACAAGGCAGATTTTTCTCGTAGTAGTCGAGCAGGAGCTGAGCAGCGGGAAGATATTTCTTCCACAGTATGATTTCAATGCACCTCGAGATAGAGAACATTCCTTAAGTACTCGTAAGCGAGATTTGTATTGACGGGGATTGTGTCTCGAGATAACGAAGAATGGTGTTGAGCGATGTCAAGTCACGCATTTGTACTGTGAACAAGATAGGCTGCGTGCAAATGAGCGTATATATGTCTGCGGCATCAAGCTTTGGGAGAACCTTGGAAAGAAGACGATGATTGCCGGCGGCTAGGGCAGCGTAAAACCTATCTTGATAGGGAAGGCGTATGG